ACCAAGCTGGCAGGAATAGCCAACACTCCAGAAGATAGGCTCAAGATAAAGAAGGATCTTGGCAGACTTGAACATTGGGCACTATCTAATAAAATGGAATTCAGTGGTTTTCTAGGAAAACAAAATGCACAGGTACGGTGTGTGTGGTACCTTGTTCAATAACAGGAATTGTGAGAGGGATCTTGGAGTCCTCATGGACAACCATTTAAATATGAGCCAGCAATGTGTAGCAGCTGCCAAAAAAGCCAACACAGTTCTAGGGTTTCCTGTTTTGAGTAGAGGGTTAGACTAGGTGACCTCCAAGGTACCTTCCAAGTCTTACTCTGTTTAGTTGTTTGCTTGCGTGGACAGCAATCAGAATGAGAAATCTTGCTGTGGCCAACTCTCCACAACCAATTTGCCACAGGACAACTCTCCATGGGACAATTCAATTATTTAAAATAATTTAAAAATTACCTTAATTTTTGCTATTCATATTTCATTCTGTCCCTCCTTTTACATCTTTTCTTTAATAGCAATAGCACTTAGACTTATATATGCTTCACAGTGCTTTACAGCCTTCTCTAAGCAGTTTACAGAGTCAACCTCTTGCCCCCAACAATCTGATTCTATTCCACCATTTCCTCGTATTAGTGTAACTCTTGTTACAAGCGTTGTGGCAAGTTGTCTTGTGATAAGTTGGCCATGGTGAGTTGTAGACCTGATTGCAATTCCCAGAATTCCCCAGTCAGTTAGCATCCATTAACAAACGATAGTGGTGACCTCTGATGCGTTTGAGCAGTAACCATGATCTTTTCCTTTTAGGAGCTGTTTGTTCAGTATTTAGCTACTTACGCTTACAAGCACGGCCAAGACAACGAGCAAAAGGCCCTGACATATACAGACCTGTCACAAACAGTACAGAATTCTGACACTTTCCAGTTCCTTGCAGGTCAGTCTTTGCTAATATCATAACTGATGTGAAATAATCCCTAACATAGGGAAAGGGGAGTGTGGAATTTTTCCATGGCAGTCTTTGAAAACTGTTAAGGCTTTTGAGTTATATTTTTATTTATTAATGGAAATTGAGCAGAAAGAATTCCAATCTTTTTTTTTTTTAAAAAAGAACCACCTATTTTAGGGGATAAAATATTTTGTTTCCTTATTGTTAAAACTACTGAGAATTGGAAATAGTTAAAAATGCCTCGTAGATCCTGAAAATAAATAAATGGTATGTTAGGATCCATTAGCAATTTCATCTCTCCTATGTCATAATTGTGTACAATTATTTTTTTAATTTAGCTGTAACAAAAAACTAAAACAAATGAAAAATATATCTTAAAAAACCCTAGTCTATCCTAGATGGATGTGCTAAAAATTGGGCTGTCTAAATTGTGTCGCTATGACAATATTCTCGAAAAATCAATTTGTAATTTGCTTTTATTTATCAAGTGTATATGCCACCCATCTCACCCAGCAAACTATGAATTATTTTCATAATTCAGTGGAAACTCAGTAGATGGGACAGAGTGCGAATTACTTTTGCAGTGGAAACATTTAATAAATTAATTCAAAGAATATTTTCTTTTCCAGATATTGTGCCCAAGAAAATCTTGGCAAGCAAATACCTGAAAATGCTTGAAAAAGAAAAAGAAGGAAAAGAGATAAGGGAGGAGGAAGAGGAAGAGGAAACGGAAGAAAGTGAGGCTGAAGATGCATCTTGACAATATAGCTTGTTGATTTATAGCCTTGTATGTGTGCACTCTTGAATGTCCTATGATCAATTGAATTCTTACATCCTTGAACCAGTGTCAGCTTTCAGAGTTAGAATTGCCAACTTGTGTACAATTACCTGCAAAGACTTTATAGCAAAGACTTCTAAGTGGGACTGAACATATTTGCAGATCTTCGTTTTTCATCTTCAGCTTATAAACATAATATGGATGATTGTTTATAATATACCAATTGTCCGTGTTAGCCAAATGCTGTATTTTCAGTACAGAATCATCTTCATTGCTCACATTGGGCAAATCTAAAAGCGGGTAAAATATTTTTACATGCCAATATTAAAGTTTTCTTTCCTTTCAATGTAAGTTGGTAAAAAAGCTTCAAATTTCTTAAAAGAAAATTGTTTGTATGACTAGTTGTATATAAGCTACACGGTTGGCATTCAAATTATCCATGTTGAAAAGAAAATACTTTCAATGTCATCAATTCCTAGGTACAGTACTGTTACACTGATGTAAATAAAGAAAACAACAGCAGTTTTGTATGGATACACATTGGGAAATTGAAAAAAAAATAGTGTGGATCCTTGTATGATTTGAGATGACATTTATGTAGTACAATACTGAGTAAAAGAACACAAATTAATTTTTTGGGGTATCAAAAACACTTTTAACATTTCTTTCACCTATCAAACACATCAAACGAGGCTTTGGTCACTTTGTGTATGTATGTGGATTGATAGAGAAAAGACTGAGCATTGCAACAAAATCAGTGCCATTTCTGGGGTAGGCATTCAGCAGTGAAAAGGTAAAATTAACCCCTTTCTTTAGCAAGGAAAAAAAATGATGGAAAACATTATAAATTCAAGTTAAAAGATGTGCTACCAGTACCTACTTCTTTATGAAAAGGGGCTGGATAGATTTGTTTACCCCTACTTGTGTAACCTACAGCAGTTTTTAGAGGGGAAAATTCTTAACCACTACAACACCCCCCAAAAAAACCCCATGTAACTTAAAATCAGTGGGTATTTTTTCCACCTAAAATTATGTGGCTCACAGCATACTTCAAGTCGGTTCAGGAACTACAGTCAATAAGGTAGGCAGCCATCAGAAAACGGGACATGCTTTGACTACGCTTCCACATGATAAAATGGGTTTCATGGTTGAACTGACATAATACGTAAACGTTCAATAAAACGTGGATTAAGCAAACCCTGAGTGGTGTGAACAGAGTTGTTCTGAATTAAGTTCTTGAGATCATAAACTATTGTAAACAAAACATTGCCAAAGAGACATTTCCATGGCAGCATCTTATCGATTGGATCATACAGGTAGTCCTCGACTTACGACCACAATTGGGACCAGAATTTCTGTTGCTAAGCATGGTGGCTGCTACATGAATTGCGCCCAATGTTACGATCACTGAAGTTGTTCAATGAATCGTGGTTATTAAGCAAATCCGGCTTGCCTCATTTGCCAGAAGCCAACTGTGAAGGTCAAAAATTGTGATCTCATGATTCCAGAATGCTTCAATTGTAAATACATGTGGTTTGCCAAGCACCCAAATATTGATGCTGCTGTGGTTGTGTGACGACTAGTTTTAAGTCACTTCTTTCAGTGCCACTATATTTTGAACGGCCGTAAGTCAAGGACTGCCTGTAGGGTAAAGTTATTGAATACAGTTATGAGACACGCAAGAAATTTGCTTTCCAATGATGGGCAACTACCATGGTTTCATCAGATTGTAGATGGGAAGTGGGGGAAGAGTGCAAACCCTGAGCTCTTTGAATTATTAGTGTTAGAGGCACAGAAAATAATACTTTTGAATGTGTAAGTATGAGTAATTTATTGACATACTATGAGGCAGAAACAAAATTGACACCATACAAAATAACTTTATAAAATATCATTCACATGTTTCATCAAGATTTACAGCATTTTGAGCTTGTTACATGTCTTATGGTATGGAGGTAAAAAAAAGAACACTATGCTAAATCTTTAGTAGCACTTTATAGTATATACACACACACACACACATACACAAGGGGAAAAAACCAAAGTATAAGGTTAGTTTGTCATCTTATTGCAGAAGTAGTGCAAAGTATTTTTACTAGCAAGCTGTAAAACAAACATGGAAAAAGGAATCACCCAAGCTTAAAAACAGGACAATAGATGCGGCATTTCACAGTCTGGTTTTGTTTTTGTTTTTTTTAAGCTTCCTTTTCAGTTTTCTCCCACTCGCCTTCCCGAAATTCTTTCCCCCACGTGACAAACCCATTTGGGGAATGCAAAAGTCCACGTTAAGACAATTGGATCCACAGTATATCTTGAGCAACCAAACAAAGCGTTACTCAATATTGGCTTGCATACGAATTCCAAAATATGGCGCAGCTTTTGGTTTTGAGTGTGGCTCAGCTTCCCAGCTAGGCTGATTCCCAGCTGGTTGGTTAGATCAATTCTTGGTCAAGAAATCGTTCTTCGAAATCAAAACAACCCACTGTCGTCCTTAATTTCAATCATGGCAAAAACCAGTCGTGCAAGTATATATCAGAAGAGACCATATATTGCCTGTTTTACCGTCTTGGGGTCCTTTTTCTGGCATTTTATTGTGTTAAAAAAAAAGTTGTTACAACAGTCTAGAATGCAAGACAGACTTGATATCAACGTTGGACTAACACCAAGAAAGGATCAGAGTATCTAGCAAAGAGAGACCGATTCTAAAGTCTTCAGCCGAGCCAACAATTAAAAAAAAATTGACAAGCTAGGTAGCCAACAACAAGAACAACTAACAAAAGGACACCCCCTCCCCTTCCCGCCCAAAAGCTCTATGAAATAAAAAGGAACAAAATGCAGCATTTTCAGGCTCGTGTTTCAATCTTGAGGTACCTGTAAGTCTTCTTACCTTCTGCCCAAAGGACTATGGTATATTAAAAAACATTTTAAAATTCTTTACCGTAAGCCAATTTACAGGACTTTACTGAAAAAGTGCAATGAGACTGATCGTGTATCTGCAGCATATGAAATAGGATGGTTAGTCTTTTATAAAATATAGCTTTTCTAATAGACCCGTTGGGGGCAGTTCTATAGCACATTATTTATTTTTTCTCGTTGTTTTGAGTCTTTCTGCAGCAAACCAAATAAACTCCTTGGGATGTAGCAGTTTTTGTTTTCACCACAATGAAGATTAACCCTCTTAAAAGGAGATTTCCATGCTGTATTGGTTTCTGTTTATAAAGTCAAATTTCTATTTCAAAAAAATAAGTCTATTACAACTCAATCTCCCGCCAAAGTAACAATAAAGAGAACTTTTTATTATATAAAAGGGCATTCAGTCGTTCAGGATGTTACTTGGATGTTTTATTCCCTTTCCTGACATAAATTCATACTCTACTTATTATATACAGGCCTGTGTAGAGTATATATATGAGTAGTCACATATATAACATACACGCACACACATTTTCACGCACACGGCTTACCAAAATTAGCCAGTCTCAATAAACTAAGGTGGTTCAGCCATCCCTTCGGGTAAGGGACCAAGCAAGAAAAAATACATTTTCTAAAGCTTTCTACAGCATCCAAGCCAGGGTTGGGGGTCAAAGGAGCGCTAAATAAGCAGGCATACGGAAGGGACTGTTAACCATAGTTTAAACCTCGCCAAGAATATCTGGTCAAAATCGGTTTTCTTTTGAAATTTCAAGAAACACGTTACCAGCATTCTACGTCGTTACACATTTTTATAGTTCTAATACGCCAAAACAAAAAACAAAAACAAAAACCATGCTTTCTTTGTTCAGAAATCTGACAGTTTGCGGTTTTACTCTGACGAAGGATTTCCTTCTCAGATAGGAGTCTTGGCTTGATTTTGCTTCGCATTGGGACTCACAACGTAAAAGGCACAAAAGACAAAAAAATTAATCCGTAGGTTGCTTTTTCTAAGAAAGGTCCAAATTGTCCTTTTGTCTTCCAACGACAAGTCATCGCGTATTGTTTGGTCGCTTCAGACAATCGCCATGATAATTTTGAATAAATTAGCACCCAACTGCTTAATCTGAGGTAGATTCAAACCGGAAAGGGAGCTGGGTCCTCTCACCACCTGATTTGCCGTCAAATTAATCGTGAAAGTCAGCTGTGAGATGTGGAAAAGCGCTATTACACAGGTTTCGACAAATTTGTGTGTGTTCAAAAAGAAGCAGGCTTCTCTTTCACATCGCCTTGCAGCCGGGGAAACTGAATCACTTGTATATGAATCCCTAAGCTAGCCCTTTAAACAACAATTTAATCAAATTACTTCGTATCTCCCCTCCCCGCCCCCCGGCATATCACAACTTTGCATTTGGAACAACTGTGCAGCCATAACCTGGAGTCAAACCCAAGATAATAATCGTAAAAATTTAGGAATGAGGAGCTGACACCGCATCCTCGGAAAACAGATTGGTTTTAAGCCTAGAAATGTTTAATTAAAAAAGAAAAAAAGGAAGGGGGAAAAATCTTGTGCCTTCGCAGGAAAATAGTATTTTCTTTTTAAATACAGGTTTTTGCATATTCTGATTCTGGACTAATTTAATATATTTGTTAAGGCATAAGATAAAAGACACATTACCCCACATAGCATCTAGCAAGCACATCATTAACATTGCTTAACATATATACATCGTTAATACAAATTCTCCCACACGGAGCTTTTTTTTTAAAAAAAAATGTACAGAATGAAAGGTATAATCTACATCATTGACAAAGGACGGGGAGGAGGGGAAAAAAGCAATTTCTCAAGTGCTAATTTTACAGTTCTGCAGAGTCTGTTGAACTCTGAAAAGGTATAAACTTGTTAAGGCTGCAATCCAATGTCTCTATTCCTAGGGGTAAGCCCCCCCACTCCCCACCCCACCCACCCCAAACGAGACTTACTGTTGACGAGACAATGTAGGATTGTGCTCTAAATATGCTTAAGTACCATTTGAAATAAGGCCAGCCACCACCTTTCTCTCTTTTGGCGGGGTAGGAGGGTGGAAGGGATGTGATTCAATTCCTGTGAATGGGTGAATTGAAGTTCTCGGAGGTACTTTATCCTCCTCTCAACAAATTGCGATTCAAATAAGAGTGAAACCTGGATCCCAAGGAAATCAAGAGGACAAGCTGTCAACAACACGTCCCACGGTTTCAGTGGGGGCTAAGTCTGGATCCCACTCTATTAAAAAGAAAACAAGACCCTGAAACAGTTTATTATGATCAGCTTAAAATACTCCCAGGAGATATCCGCGAAAGGTTATGCATGCCAAAAGCTTTAAAAATCAAATTTCATCACACATCCTTCCTCAGTTGTTCTACCGAATCCTTCTCTTATGTTTTACTACTATAGATTATTA